TGGCACACCTTTACTTCGCTTCTGACCTCTCCTCTTCCTTCCTGCGTTTAACCTGGCTCCTAATTTTTATCTCCGATTCACTCCTCCGATGCCCCGGAGCGGCTCTGGGGAGTCTCTCGCCGCCCCGATGAATACACAGGGATCCCCAGACAGGTTTTCTATGTAGGAAAAAATAAACCGATCGAGCCCGAGAGATCTGCAACAGCCAAACACGCCGCCTCGCCTTTACATTCGTGTTTTTAAATTCCCCCGTTATTTTCCTTTTTTGCATCTGCAAGTTGCCACGAAAGGAAATACAACCCCAAATTCCACCGCCAGCAGAAATCGGAGCTCGTTGCCAAATTCCGTAGTATTTTATTTTAAAAGCAATTAGCACCATTAATTTTTTTTTTTTTTAAAAAAAAACACGTCTTCTCCTCTTCCCGGGGAGTGTAAGAAATCCTTTTGCTCACCCAGAGTCGAAAACCTAATGGCATTGTCGTTAAACACGAAAAGGAGAATATTAAGAAATTGCAACACTCCCTCCCGAGCGCTCCCCCCCTCCCAGTTTATTTGCCCTAATAATTAATTCACAAGAGCTTAACTTCGGTGTAACCCCGGCGGTCTTTTCATTAAAAAATCCCCGCGTTTCCTATTGAATTAGCTCTGCTCCATTGTCGCTGAAATGAAGACGCCAAACCAACTTTTACCCTGAGCATTTTCTCACCAGCCCAAAGAAAAGTCTCTCTCCTTTTTCTTTTCTCTGATTTTTTTTCTTTCTTTCTTTTTCTTTTTTTTTCTTTTTTTTTTTTCTTTTTTTCTTTTCTTTTTTTTTTTTTTTTTTTAATTCAAGCACCCAGGCGATGGACGTGTCCTGCAATTTAACTACTTTCAAATTCTTTGTTCGGGTCCCACCGGGGCTCTATTGTCACCCTATTGAGAGAGCTTATTGCCAAGTCAAGCCTGAGCGAATTGAGACACGCACGGGAGGAGCCCCGGGGGCTGGGAGCGGGATCCGTGGGCTGCTCGGCCCGGGGGGACCCCGACCCAGCCCCGAGGGAGCGGGCACGGAGCGGGGCAGGGGCTGCCGGCAGCCCCCGGGCCGGGATAACCGGCACCGATTCCACACGAGCTGCAGCCGCCAAAGCAGCCCCGGCCCCGCAGAGCCCGGTGGTTGTGGCGGGGCAGCCCCGAGAACGGGGATCCCCGGGATCGGGCTCCTTTGAACCCTCAAAGCATCCCCTGCAGCAGCGCCCTGGCTCAGGTACCACCGCTGCGGGCAGGAGAGGGACTTACCTCGGATGCCCGCGGTGCCGCCAGCTTCCCTCCTTCGCCGGTTCTCCCTTAATCCCGAAAAGGAGGGTCCTCCTCTACTCTCATCCCACCCCCGACCCCTCCACCTCGGAGCCGGCTCCCGCCTGTCTCCCGCCGCCCTCTTCAGCGCTCACTTTGGGAGCTCCGGGGCTCGCTTCCCGAGCAGGGAAAGAGCGGGATCTTGGGATGATTTTCTTTTCTCTTTTCCTTCCCTCTCTCCCGACTCCTCCCCAGCCTGGAAAAGGGGTTGCGAGATGGAATAGGGGGGTACGAGCTTCACGGAAGGGTTATTTGAGGAGAAAAAAAAGCTGGAAGAGCAGTGCTGGGCACAGATTCCCACGTAAGCCCGTACGTCACCTATAAAAATTGCCCGTTTCTCCCGTTTCTTGGCTCCGGGGGGGCAGCTGAGACATCTCTACCTGTGGAGGGAGGGGGTGAAACCCTATTAAAACCGGCACCCCGTTAAAAACATCCTGCTCCAGCTGGGAGGAGAAAGCAGAACCGGGGGATGCTGGAAGGCAGGGGCCGCCTCTCTGCATCATCACCCTCTGCCCCGTGGTGATGTTTGGCCGCCCCCTGCTCCCCCAAAACACCCATCTGGAGCCCTTCTCAGCCTCTCCATGCCGGGGAGAGAAGGAGGTCCGCGGGATTCCACGGCGATGGCAGAGGGAGGGCCGCGGCGGGGACAGGGGTACTCTGCGGCCATCACTTCCCCCCCTTCGCCGCGCTCCTCCTGCCGTGACCAACGGCGTCTCCGCCGTGTCCCGGGGGAAAAGGAAGCCCTTGACCCCTGGCCCCAGGGGCAACGGGGTTAAACAAAGTCCCACCGCCCCATTATCCGACAGACAGCACTGAGCTCCCGGCGGGGAGCGGGGTCTCCAAGAAGCTGGCGAGAAGTCGCAGCTCCCACCTCGGTCCCGGACCCCGACGGGGCGCACCTGGATGGGGATGCTTCTCTGACAGACAGACAGACAAAAAACCCAAAAACTTAGGGAATGAAAAAAAAACCCCTATACACGCCCCATTCCGACTTACACATTGCATCCAGCTCTGCTAAAACGGCGGGTTTTTGAGGTTATTTCGGGTTGTTCACAGCGGTGATTTTTTTTATTTTTTATTTTTTTATAGTGGTGCCGTGCCTTGCCGACCTTTCCTGGCCGCACTCGGGTGAGGCACACGCAGCCCCGGCCCTGTCCTGCCTGCGGACAAGGCAGTGGAGCTCGTTGTCACCAACCTTCCCCAAAGCACCGCCGCGAGAAACATTGAGAGCAGAATTTATTTTTTCTATTTACGCTTTGGAGAGAGGAGAAATTTTTTTGATGGGGCGGTTTGGATTTTTTAGAATTTAATTTTTTGAAAACACGATAAAAATAAGGGGATAAAAGACACCAAATATGAGAAATCGGGGTTAAAACAATGCATCGGAGGGGAGAAAAGTGCGCCCCAGTCCTTTCCTAGAGGCACTCCGGAGCCGGGGGTCCCTAAACCGCTCTTCCCTTCACTCCAGGGCAACTCGTGGCTCTTCCATCCCGGCGAGAGCACCCGCGGTTTTGGAGCATCTCTCCCCTCCGGCTCCGCACCCCGCGCCCCGCCAGGCTCCCGCAGAAAGATCAGGAAACCTCAAGAGCCCGGTGTGGAGGCGGCCGAGGACGGGCAACCCCCCCGGCTCCCGGCAGGCTCCGGCCAAACGGTGCCTCCCGCTGCTGGGTGAAAGGGGTGAAGCACAACCCCCACACCGAATCTCAAGCTGGGGGCAGCGGGGACTTCAGGGGGCACCGAGGGGCTGTGAAACGCGTTCCAAGCTACAGAACCCTGCACCGCGCTCCGGGTGTGTGCGCGTTCCTCACATCCCACAGCGCTCCCGAGCTGGCTCTGCCTTTTCGGAGAGCGGAGGGCAGCGGTTCCTCACCCTCCATCCCGCCGACCCCGAACCCCCCGGGGGAGGGGGATGCGGAGCTGGAGCTCTGGAAAGGAGGCGCAGCCGGGCTGTGGAGCTCCGCAGGGGCCGGCAGGGGCGAAGGGGAATCACGGTGCCCGCTGCCCCT